CAATCCAGGGTTGCAAAGCATGCTGGGATGCTGGGAAACTGTGATTTAACTTGGGGGTCAGAAGGGGGTCTGGGACAGAAGTTTCATAAACCAGTTTGACCCAAATCAGTTAAGTCTGATACTATATTCAACAAGGTTTATCTTAAACCAGTTTCAGCCATTTTGAAATTGGTTTATATGCACTGAGCTTCTGTTCTGTTACAGGTTTAAACCCGTTTCTGATCACTTAAACAGGTTTATGTGTAGCTTCTGTCCCTAGCCTAAGATTGCAAGCATATGGTTCAGAGTACAGTCTGGTGCATCGAAAAATCCTAGACCATGCACATAAACTGGGGAGCTGTCTTTCCACATTTGTTGTGAGCACACAAACCTAAATTTTGGGTGTGTAGAAACATGGATCCCCAATATTATGCCTCCTCAAAATTTAGAGGCATGAATAGGGAGTACAGACTGAGGCCACTTAGAAAACTTGGGTCTAAATAAGGAATAAAAAAGGAAAGTTTACTTGTGGAAGTTAAACTTTGCTGTAACTGTTATAAGATTTCTTCAGATGAGTCTCTTCATATATTCCAGGACAGTTAGAAGACAAGCATGGATCTATTAGGCCGAGGTTTACGGATGAAGCGGACGACCTCTGTTGGGAGTGGCATGTCTATTACTCTGATTGCATGTTATTGCCTTAAAAGAAGGGAAAGCATAACATTTATGTAGATAGCAGGAAGGGAAAGTATTATTCCTACACAAATGCATACATAGTAGCTAATTTTGGTGATTTAGTTTATGAAGTAATCTAAAATAATCATATGTAAAGAGAGTGCATTTCCCAATAATTTATCATCATCCCTTCTAAAATGAGGTTGTGCATTCAGTATCTATGAAATTCTTGTTTGTTTCCATTTGCTTGGCAATGACTTTCAATTTGGCATGAAGTTAACAAGGCAGACACTGAAGTAGTGCAAGAGAAATGCATGCATTGCAAAGCTGAGGGAGACCAAAGAACATTTTGCTCTTTCTATACAACAGATAGTTGGTTCACATAACAAAGTTTCGGTTTGTTTACACGGCACAAAAATTTGAATGCAGGCTTTGATCTTGTTTGTCATGTCACACTACCAAAAGCAATCAGATAATGGCATGTCTACTTCAGATCTGCACGTGTGTTAACCCAGAATCTTGCTACAAATACAGAGCTCAAACATAAAGAAATAAAACATGAATGTTCTGATGTCTCTTTATTATGTACCAAAAGCCTGCCAGGAAATTAGAGGCCAGGTTCTGAAAGTGCAGCACATGCACAGCTAGCTGGACAGGCAATGAGCAAAGGGGGTGGCTTACTGCTATATTTTTCTGCCAAAGTGCTAACTCCTTTAAGATCTATAGAGAAGTTGTTGCTTCAGCCCTTTGTGACAGGAAATGCGTGAAGGGCAGTTCCAGGGTAAGGATTTGCAGTTGGGGCCATGGTCCATCTGTTTTGGATAAATGCCTTGTGAGTCAGCACTATGTTCCAGGCATTTCCCTACACAGTATTGTGTTCTTTAGCAGGGATAATCTATATAGGGGAAGGGAAGGCCTCTGATGAGAAGACTAGCACGCAGTACTGCTTTTGCAGCATGTGTAGTAAGTGTATGGGTTTCTGGGCACTCAGATTAATCTAGAATTTGTCTGTCATCACCAGGCAAAGTCTTGTTCCTACAAAAAATGTAGTAGTGTCTTGAGCAGTTCATGTTACGCCAGTTGACCTATGGATAACATACACTCAAAAACACGGAGAATGTAAACTTTTTAAGCAGGCGTACATTGTGGCAAATACTTGATTTTATAAGACAGTATGTAATCGGTTCTCTTGATTCAATATTCAAATTTCATTTGGTTGTTTACAGCCTGTGCACAACACATTCCTTCATTTATTTCGTAGACTTTAAGCCAGTCACACCTCACATTTGCTATTTATCCCCTACTGCCACAGGGTCTCTATGTGGTGTGGCTCCAGCTCCTGATGAATGGTTTCATCTATCAACACCCCCTCCCCCCACATCATTTTTCGTTACTAGGTCAGTTATTAGATTACAAATTATGACAGGAACCGAGCTTTTCTGATCCCCATTTACTTTATGGTAAATTGTGATGCAGAAATTTCTCCTCTAGTTGCCTGACCTTGCCCTTCTTTTCACTTCCTCTGAGGTATGACCCTGCCCATGGTCAAATTAAAAAAAAAAAAAAAAAGCTAACTTAAAATTGTTTAGGTATTTAGAAAATTGTTTGGGTTTTTTTTGCAGAAGTCTTATCAGTGAACTTGGGATAGAACAAGGCTGAGTGAAGCCCTAAACTCTTCTTTTCTGATGGACATCTAACTTTTTTGGTATTATATGAACTGTCTGTATCTCTAGACCTTGCTTCATTGGACTAGAGGTCACAGGAGAAGAGACTTTGTTTTATTTCCAACATTCCTGTTTCTGAAATTAGTCAAAGACAACTATTTTCCTTTGGAGAAAAAAGCACTGACAAACCCTAAATGCTTTTGTTTTTTGCAGAAATGTTTTCAGAAAAGACCAAAAAGTTGTGACAATGGTGAAATATCTTATTTTAATCCTTCCAGAATCAAAAGCTGTGACTTTTTTTCATTTTGAAACAATTTTGTATAGAATGTTTCTATTATAAATTTTAAAAGAGGCAAAATCAAGGTACATTATCAAAATGAAACATTTTCTGTGCTGTTTTTGAATTCTTTCTTTTATAGATAATTTGAGGCTTTCTGGCTTCATTGGTTCAAACCAAAATGTCAGAGCACCAGAATACTGTACAGTATAGCGTTTCTGTTCTCTGCACAGCTCCAGATGAACATTTCAGAATGCTGTTGGTTCTAGATGTGCATGATGTCTTGTGCCTAGTGCCGTGTGTAGACTAAACAAGAGGCATGTGTGCACGACACTTTAAACCGGGCTAAATGCTTTTGCACCACTTAATGGTGGCAGTATTTGAACACCTCAGCCATGTATTGCACATTAATTCCAGCCGCTGCAGGAAATTTAGCAGTGTAGTGCGCCTTAAATGACTTGGGGCGCAGCGAACTAAAACTCCTTCGAATTTTAGTTTGCTGCCCCTATAGCCGTGGAGCGATGCACCAGGCTCCTGCAGAGCCCCTGAGCTGCACGGAAGCCCTGCAGGCAACCTGGCAGCAGCTTGGGAAAGCAGGCTCTGCCCAAGAAAAGTGGTGAACTTGATCTCGGTCCCCCCTAGCGAGCCTACCTGCCTGCCTGAGTTGTGCAGGGGTCCAGTGCTTCCCTCCGCAGCTGCGGTGCTCCCTGGGACCGCCCGAGTTGGGTGCCTGCAGGCAGGTGCCGTCTGGGGAGGGCCACCGCTGCTGCGGAGGGAAACACCAGGCCCCCCACAACACAGCGACTGCTTTACTTGCTGGCAGCTCACACTCCCCTCCCCACCAGAGCGGCAGGTAAGTCAGCAGGGTGGCACATGGAGCCAGGGGAACAGGCAGCCCGCTGCCTGCTCCCTCATCTCCACATGCTGCAGAGCCCCTGTGCTGAGGCATGCTGAGTCTCAGTGGGTGCTGGCTGGGGTGCAGCATGTCTCGAGACAGAGGAGTAGGCAGCCTTGGGCTGGTGCTCCCTGTCTCTGCATCCCTCAGTGAGGGGCATCCTCAGCTGGCCAGTTAGCCCCATGCTGAGGCACACTGTGCCCCAGCCAGCCTCCTGGGCTGCCTGCTCCCCCATCTCTGTATTTTTGTCCTGGCGCCAACTATTATCAAGTGCTTTTGCACCACTTATTGTTCTGGGGGGTTTTTTGCTACCAGAACATCCTAGTAGCCAATTTCCCCTGCCTCCCTACCCCCCCTTCCACTCCCACTGCAAATTAGTAGCCCCACACACGGTTTAACGTGCAACGTGTGTGATTTGCGGTGCCACAAACCACGCATGCCTGCATGTCTGGACATGCCCGTGGCGTGCAATCACTTGAAAACTGAATAGTTACAGTGCAATCTTTTAGCTCCTAATTGTATCAATGACACAGGCCCAGCTTAGTTTTAGCACGTGCATGAGTTTCCCATTGACAGTCTGTGTCAACATCAATTTGCAGTGACATAGAAATATAAACTTCAACACAAACCCAGGGTGTATGCATGACACCAGGGTTTAATCAGCCCTAAATTAAAGCAGTGGCTTTTTTTTTAAACTCACCACTTCAATATAGGGCCCTCGTTTCATCTACGCATGTCCTAGGACATTATTTCCTCCCAAACCTTATGGCCAGCTTAAGAGTTTAAGGGAAGATTTTCCAGGGGTCAGAGATGGAGTTAGCCTGCTGACACTGATCTTCAGTGAGAAGATGGGTGCCTAAGACTAAGAACAGATAATGTATTTGTCCCTGAATAAGCCGTGCCTGTGTTTGTCCTAGAACAAAAATATCTCAGAATTGGCACGTACATACATTGCCCTTTTTAGGTTGTACTAAGCAGCTGAATGCACTGCCACTTTTCTGCCATTGATTCAATAATAAAGTCCCAGAATAACTGTACAAACATATTTTGCAATATCCTGGGATAAACTGTTACTGCCTCTTATTCAGGAAACATTTTTAGCACTTACCCTGGGATAACAAGCATGGAGGTCTGTGTGATGGCACTTTGTCCTGAGATAAAAATGATTTATCACAGGATAAATGCCTAACTGTCCTTTGTGGCTTTTTGGAAGTTCCCTTCTGGGTGTATTTCCAGGTGAATCAAGAAATTTGAAATTATTATACAAGAAAATACATTTCTTATAGCAGTGTGAATAATCTATGTCATTACATTACTGAAACAAAAGGTACCTAGACTATTACTTATGTAGTATCTAATGACTTGAAATGCATTAAAAATTCCTAAATATCCATAATTCTAAAAACATGTTTTGTAACTTTTTGAGACGGATGATTATGCATTTTCCATGTATTTATAGTACAATTAGATGCAGATCTGACTGCTTTTTTTTTTCTTCTCTCCCCCTCAGGATGGAAGGGACAAACGACAAATACGTGCCATCCGTTTCAAGCAACATCATTGGAATGTGTTTCTTAAGGAAGGAAGAGCTTACTAACTTATTTTATGGATGTCACTAAATTCAGCTTTGAAGGGCTCCCAAAGCACATCACAAACTTGGAATGGGAAACCACAGCAATAATCATACCTGCTTGATAGATGATTCCTTTAAATACAATCTGTATGGAGCAGTCTACAGTGTTGTGTTCATCCTTGGCTTAATCACGAACTGTGCCTCCCTACTTGTTTTCTGCTGTAGAATGAAGATGAGAAGTGAGACCGTCATCATTATGACAAACCTAGCTGTTTCAGACTTGCTCTTTGTATTCACGTTGCCTTTTAAAATTTTTTACAATTTTAACAGGCATTGGCCTTTTGGAGACAGTTTGTGCAAGATTTCAGGGACGGCGTTTCTCACCAACATCTACGGAAGCATGCTGTTTCTCACTTGCATCAGTGTTGATCGATTCCTAGCTATTGTTTACCCATTCAGATCTCGTACCATTAGGACAAGAAGAAATTCAGCCATAGTGTGTGCTGGTGTTTGGATACTGGTTTTAAGTGGTGGAATTTCAGCTTCGTTGTTCTCTACAACCAACATCTCCAACACTAGCACAACCTGCTTTGAGGGTTTTTCCAAACGTATCTGGAAGACCTATTTGTCTAAGATCACTATATTTATTGAAGTAGTAGGATTCATCATTCCTTTACTACTCAACCTTACATGCTCTTCATTGGTTCTGAGGACTCTTCGGAAACCAGCTACATTATCTCAGATTGGGACAAACAAAGAGAAAGTATTGAAGATGATCATCGTTCATGTGGCCATTTTTGTAGTATGCTTTGTGCCTTACAATTCCATACTCTTCTTGTATGCTCTGGTGAGATCGCAAGCCATAGCAAACTGCTCCCTGGAGAGATTTGCTAGGACAATGTACCCAATCACATTGTGCATTGCAACACTGAACTGCTGCTTTGACCCATTTATCTATTACTTCACATCAGAATCTTTCCAAAAGTCTTTCAACATAAAACCCCAAATAAAAATGGATTCCCTCTTCAAGACTGACACCCCTCTCACGAAGCCTACTGCACTGCCAGCAATACAGGAGGAAATGGGTGACCAGGCGATTACGAATGGGGGAGATCCAACATCTGAATCTCATTTCTAAGGGGTTGTCTACCCATGGAGTTACCCATGGATTAACTCTGTGTGTAGTCCATTTTATTCCACAAGAAACTGGCTCATATAGAGTTAGGATATGAAGAGACATCACATTTGTCCTGGGAGAAACCATTTTCTTCTGGGACAAAAAGCAATTGTTCAGACATCCTTGTTCGTTGTCCTGGGACAGGCTCTAAAAAAGTTCACAGAATAACACTTAGGGCATCACACAGTGCATCTGAATGGTTGTTTTAGGATTGCATCATTGGATCAGTGACAGAAAAGAAGCAGTGCATTCAGCTGCTCAGCCTTGATTGTAAGGGCTGTTTGTATACATACCAATCCCACAACTTCTGTTCTGGGACAGAAACTGGCACTGCTGATCCCAGGACAAATAAAACATCTAGCCTTAAACAAAAACAGTTATCCTAGCCTTCCTAGCCTTAAACATTCCTAACCTTAAACAAAAAAGTTATCCAGGAACAGATAATCAAAGATAACTACATGGGTAGATAAGACCTAACACTGGGATTTCCTTACTAGGTGCAACAGACTCTTCAGTGTTTAGAGCTCAGTGTATTTAAATCTAGCTAGATCTCTCTTTGGAGACTATGCCTTGTTGAAAATTCATGTACCAGCCAAGGAGGAATTGAGATGATTCTTGTATTGGAAGATGCCAGCATTTGGCATTTTCCCCCTCTAGCATTAGACATGCGACAGTCAGGAAATATAAATCTTTATCTTTTTACTTTAGAGATCTCCATCAATTTTCCCTGTCTTATGAAAAGTACATCACCCTATATTAGCTCAATAATTTCACACGTATATGTACGTTTGCTTAAAGAGGTATAATAAAAGCTTTTAGCTTTTTCTTATTTTACTACAAGCGTATATTCTGGATATACTAAATGCAGGAGTTTTTAAGCATACTATTATCTAAAGTTGAAAAAGTAGATACAGATTGGGTTGGAGCTTAATTAGTTCTTCTGTGAATTACAAGTAATGGTTATTTGTTACTACTAATAATGGGGAAGAGCAAAAAATGAAGCAACTTGCACAGTCCCCTAAAAGATGCTGTATTCTTTTGAGCTGCATGATTAAGCTACCTTGTAATTTATTTTAACACTGCATTAAATGCCAACTGTAGACAGAAAAGAGCACATTACAGATTTGTTAAGGCTGGCGTTTCTGTACCCCAAGAAATTACAAGTGAAAATAGTTTAGTCCTTATCTGCACAAACTCAGGTCAAATAAAAGGCCTGTCAGACAATATCTCTGGCAGTTTGGTCTAAGAAAAGATTGAAGAGCCATAATATTTTGATACATACTTAAGAATTTGCATGCATATTGGCAAGAGGCATAATAGACCCTGATGTAGCAGAGGAACCTATGAGCAATTTCTTTTCTGTAGGTTACAAGGCAGGGTCTTTTGCTAAGTGAGAGCATCCTGGCTACTTCTTAAACAAGCAGAAGCTTCTAAGGCAGCAGCATTAATTTCCCTGTCAGGTAAAGCAACGTGTTTTCTTGTTTTGCAATTAATTTATTACACGTGTTGCAGTTCTTCATGCAAAGGGAGAAATCCCTTGTAAAGTGAGGTCTGTTAACTAGCTGGAAACTAATGCATGCTACTGAGGAGTTCAGCCCTGCAGCTGCTATGCAGACAGAAGGCCTATTAACTTCAGTGGGAGTTGAATAGCAGTGGGATCAGACTCTGAGGCATTCCTTCCTAGATGGAAGATGCACAGGCAGCAGAGGTTGGGTGTAACCCAATTAACATTCAGAAGCATTTTGAAGTTACTGATTACCTCAATGTTAAATTAAACCCCCACACCTTTAGGTAATGTTTTAAATCTGCTTCTAACTGAGAGCTATTAGGCTAGGGATAGACATTACACATATACTGGTTTAAGTGATCAGAAACTGGTTTAAACATGTAACAGAACAGATGTTCAGTGCACATAAACCAGTTTGAAAATGGCTGAAATGGGTTTGAGATAAACATGGTTGAAAGTAGTATCAGACTTAACTGATTTTGGATCAAACTGGTTTATGCAATGTCTGTCCCAGAACCCTTGCTAGTTTAAGATAAACCAAACTCCCCCTGCATCCCAGCATGCTCTCTGGGTTGAGTGGGGCTCTTTGCTCCACAGCAGAGCTGGCCTCTCCTCTCTGCTCCCTGGCTGGAACTCCAGCAGAGACTGCAGGCTGCTCCCCCCTCCCTGCTAAGCAGGAATTCCCCCCGACTCCTCTGCCTTCCTGAGAGGTGTCTGTGTATTAGCTAGCAGACCCCATGCTGGCTACCATCCATGCTGAGTCAACAGGTAGAATTGACAGGTAGCTCATAATGTCCCTCTGTTGTTTTCTTAATGGGGCAATAAACACTGAGTTGGGGGTGATTAAACACTGTTATCAATTCCCTGCTGGGCTAATCAGAGCATCCTGCCAGGGCCTGGCCATGCCCTCCCCTCAGCACAGTGCTGTGGGAGGGCAGGAAGGACTGCTTTAGCACCCCCCGCCCCCCAGCATCTTGCCTGAGTCACTGCAGGCATGTGCCTGCATGTCTGGGATGTCTGTGCAGTTACAAAGTGATTTAGCCACGCTAGGCTAGACTAACCTGCAAAAACGGAATCAATTCAGGCTTAGGTTTTTTTGAATGTCTGCCCCTAGCCTTGGAGATAAGCAGTATTTATCAGCCTACAGTGAACTGAATTGAACAATATCATTTCTATTGCTCTCATGCTGAGCCTTCTAGGACAGGCAGTCCAGTCTTAAAATGACTGGAGTTGTTTTGTGTTTACTAAGTGCAAACAAAGAGACACACTTTGAAAATAGCATTTATTTAGCACTGCTCTTTATTAATAAGAAACAGACATATGCCTATCAAGGCCATATAAACAATTACATTTTAAGGGTGTGTACAGAAGTGCTCCACACAGGTTTTACAGTGCTGTAATTTAGAACACTTCTTATAGCACTATAAAATTACAATGCTCTTAATCGTGACAGAAGGGCAGTTTTTGGTGGTAGGGGAGGTGGGGAATAGAGGGCATCTCTGAGGCTCCCTGTACTTCCCAGGCTAGGAAGCAGGGGATGCTCCACAGTCTCCTGGGGCTTCTCTGCTGGTCAGGAATTTGACCAGCATACAAAAGTTATTTAAAGTACTGTAGGTTGCTAAAGTGCTGTAAAATACAGCACTTCAAATTGAATACCTCATTTAACAAGGGTTAATTTAATGCACCGTACCCATTTTTAAAGTTCTGTGAAGCCATGCGCTTCTGTTAAGTCACAGCAATAAAGCGCTTTAAATGGCAAAAAAGTAACTTCTGTACACACCCTGATTACAGCATCTGTCACCCCTTGATGCAGAATGGGTATGATTACCTCTTGTAGACCAAATGACAGAATAGCCCAGTCTTTGGTGCTTAGCTCCAAGGTGTAGTCATCTTAACTAGAACCCCATGTCTCGTATTAGTTTCAGAGGTTTATTGCTACATATTAAGTGTCAGGCCACAAAGCCACCAGCATTTCTGTACAAAAGAGAAATGTAGCAATAACGAGAGATGAGGTAAACCATTTATCAGACTAAAGTGTGGACAAATGTATGGACAAATGTACCTTTAAACCACTTTAACAGGGGAAGGGGAGCTGCTGCTTGGGAGTTTGCATAAACTGTTATAATCCAACTATTGTCTACATGAACCTATACCAATACAGAGTAGATGAACTGCCCTAATTTTGAACCTGGATGAAAAATGGTTAAAACTGCAGTAGAGTTACCATGCTTGTATTTCTACCAGATCATACAGACATAAAAGTTGGATCATAATAGCTTATATTGGTTTCCTTTGGTAGCAGTACAGTTGTTACATCTGTCTGTACCCCAGAGATGTAACTACCAGGGTCTGTGCTCCAGGCATCAGGAGCAGTGCTGGGGCCCGGGCAGCTGCAGCTGTGGTAGTAGCTGATTTGGCAGCAGCAGCTGCTGCTTTTCATACACCACCTCCCAGTGGGCACCCAGGGCTAGTGCCCTTCTCATCCACCCCTTGTTACCTTATTGCTGTACCCATAGATATCATCTAATGCAGGTGGCAGAACAGAGCTCAGCAGCATGTTCCTAGGGAACTCATTGGTACTTAGAAAAATACATTTGAAAGCTGTCCAATGACATAAGTGGATTAACTGGTATTTTAAAAAACTGCAACATTTGCTCAACCACTTTCCCCCCGGGTCTGCACAAGACATGAATCCAGTTTTAACCAGACTCTTTCTTTCCCCCTAGAACAAGATACTTGGGATATTTGTGTTCAGGGATGATTTTGGTACTGGTAACTCAATACAGCTATTTAGGCTGGTGCCAAGTAGAGATTTTTTTTTCTCCCCTTCAATCTACGCCTGCACTGAATCATGTAGAAGGATTTCTGAAATCCCTGCTTCCTTCAGGCAATCAACCTGTTTCAACACTTGCCATAAAATGTATACATTTCAAAGAAGCTGTTTCCATCACTTCAGATCAAAATCCAGAATGTGGTGGTGTGGAGGGAGAAAGGTTTGCAGCCTTTGATGCAAGTAGGAGCTTGTCGCCTATTTTCACAGCCAAGCTCTGTCAAGCAAGGAGTGGAGTCTGTCGAATCATTAACAAGTCCAATGCATTCTTACAATGGAGATCTCAGCTCCACCCATTAACTGGATGTTGTACACCTGAAATGTTACAAGTTGCTTTAACTGAGGAAGATGATGGTGCTAGGGGGGGAGCATGTAAGGCATGGGTTGCAGCAGAAAGCTTAGGTAACCACAGGAAAGACATTTCTAAACTTTTAATCCAGCTTCTTCCCTCTGGGTAAGGCAAAATATCCTGGTACGTGATTACGCTCAGATCTCAGAGGCCAGGGCCATTTGGATCATTATTTCAGTTTTTCAAAAGAAAAAATAGAAACTTCTGTTTAGTTGCCAGCTCATTCTTAATGGAAAGCTTTGATTTTCAGCTTGTGAATCTCTCTGCTTGAAAGCTTCTGCTTTCTGCTTTCATGCCATCAGCATAAAGATGAGATTCTTCTGTTACAGTTGGGGGATGGGATTTTCTTGGTACAAAATCTGTTCCCATTAATGAAAGCAATAGAGTTGCTTCAGAATTTGAGAAAAGAATTTGGCCCAGAGTACCAAAGCCAGCTACAAAGGAGTATCTTGTTACCAGTGATCCTGGAAGACCTTGCACTAACTCAACTGACCTTCTGCTAGTTAAATTTGCAAGATTTTTTTTAACCTAGAAACCACTGTCTAGCCTTCTTAAGGAAATGTTAAAAGAGAGGGGGGAAAGAACTGTATGTGACTGGATAACATCCAGCCTGTACATACATAGCTTAACTGTAATGTGAGCATAATGGTTGTCTTTTTCTAAGTGAAACGAGTGCCAATGCTTACAAATTTCTGTTTGCAGTTTTATGGGGCGAGAGCTGTGGTTGATAGTCTCACATAAAATGAAATACTATCATCATGTGCCAAAATGCTAACTGAAAAGATTCATTATTTTGTAATTTAATACCTTATAAATTATATGGAGATCATATGTTGACTGACACTCACATCTGTTAGGACAGTTTTTGACTAATCTTTTTAGTTGAAGGTATACTGAGTAAATGCCTGTATGGTTTGTATATAAATAACCAATTATGCATTCAGAGAGAGGAAAAGTAATTTTTCAGATGCTGGTAAGCCAAGCTGGAAGGAACTCTGGTGGTAAATGAAAAGTGGATTCACATCTTTTCTGGCTAACATGCAGCTGGGTGTTTTTTCCCCCTTTGTTAACAAAGGGCTATTGTTAGCAACAGAAACATTAGTTTAGATGCAAGAAGCAAATGAAGAGGGAATGCTTTTATGTAGCTGAACCTGACTGATTCAACTATGCCCTGTTTCTGTCCCTAAATCCACAACATTGAGGATGTGCACACAAGCTTGCTTTTCTTTTTACTACTTTCATGTCTGTGAATCATCATACTAAATCTTACCATGTAATTTGGTGGCACCAATCTCATCTTAAATACCCTTCATGTTAAGGGAGCAGCCTTCAGAACAGCACTGATGTATAAAGAAAATCTTCCAGTTGTGTGCATATAAATGTGTCTGCAAAATGATATTCTACTCCAAGGGATTTTGGAGTGCGTGTCATGAAATGTCAGGGATGGTGGTTATATGAAGGCTATTAAGTGCAGCTGCAGGACCAGAGTTTATAACATAGTAGGTTTTTGTAAGCAAGACAGAGGTACTTTTCTATTAGGAGATCTCATAAGGTAAGGTTTCAGTGGCTTCATAGAATTAAGGGAAACCAGACAAGTTGTTCCACAAAAGCAGGCAGGAACCAGAAGGTCCCATATACAAGCTGTTTGGTCGTGTAATGAGAATCTATGGTCTATGCTGGCTTGGTGCATAAAAAAGGGAGAATGTAAAGTGCCCATATCACAGGGCAGAGTTTTGCAGGTACTCTGTTGAAAAGGAATCGCTGTAACACAAGAATGCTGTGCTGTGTTTAGCATTATTCCTTACAGACATTCCTTACTGCATACAGACATTACAGCCAGAAGTTTGGGGGGGTTAAAAATGGTCCACTGATGGCGAGATGGAGGATTGGGAGAGTAGCAGGATTTGGGGGGGGGCGGGCTCTGCAATTCTGCAAAAGCCCATGGACCCCTTCCAGAACCCCCCCCCCCC